AGCTAGCTAGCTAACGATACAAAGAAAGAGAAAAATAACACTTAAAGTTTCGTTCTTATCCAAAATATGACTATTAATCATGATTCTGATAGATGTATTAGCTAATAAGACATGAGATATGATCAACCAGTTCTGATGGCTCAATCCTGGCCGAAATCTGGCAGACCGTTGGAAACCGTTGGTTTTTGAATGGTATCGCAGCGAGGCGCTGGTTCAGATCCGCAGCGCATTTGCAGAGCGATTGGCCATCCGTAACATTCCCAGATGAGGAGCAAGCGCGTTCCTGCTCCGCAGAGTGACACAGTCGTTACGTTGACTCCGGTGCAGATTCGTAAATGCAGATAGTGCCATGTGCCGGATTTGAGGAGACGCAGGCGGATCTGGCGCGGAGTCAGCTGCTATCAGCATGTACGGTTGCAGAGGCATTCTTCAAAGTGATCTCCTGAGTTGATATCCCGAAAGAGATCCTGACTGATCAGGGCACTACGTTTATGTCACACACTTTACGCGAACTATACGAATTGTTGGGCATTAAATTGATTCGTGTCAGTGTTAACCACCCCCAAACGGATGGACTGGTCGAACGATTTAACAAAACCCTCAAAAATATGATTCGGAAGTTCACTCACGAGGACGCTAAAAATTGAGAAGTGGTTAGAACCCCTGTGCAAGAGGTCCCTCAAGCCTACCTCAGGGTTTTCTCCTTTTGAATTATTGTATGGGAGGAGACCCGGGGGGTCCTAGATGTCATTAAAGAGTACTGGGAGGAGGGACCTTCAAACAGCAAAAACAAAATTCAGAATTCTTGACCTGAGAGCAAAACTAAAAAGCACTGGGCACTTTGCTCCAGGCTCAAGAACGTCAGAGCTGCGACTACAACAGGGGCTCTCAGCTGCGTAGGTTTTCACTGGGACACAAAGTACTCGTTTTACTCCCCACATCAAGCTCCAGATTGCTCGCCAAGTGGCAAGGACCTTTTGAGGTCACACGGCGAGTGGGAGAAGTTGACTATGAGGTCAGATGGACAGACAGAGGCGGGGAACTTCAGGTATACCACCTCAATCTCCTTAAATCCTGGAGGGAGGCGGTCCCTGTTTCTCTGGCGACAGTGTTTCCCAAGAGAGCTGAGCTGGGGCCGGAGGTCCCAATGATTGGAGCAGCCCCGTGGTGCTTGTGGAATACTATGTGGTGTCTAAATTCGATGCCTATCCAATGTCACGTATTGATGACCTGCTCGATTGGTGAGGTGCTGCTCATTTTTACTCGACACTGGATTTGACCAAGGGCTACTGGCAGATCCCCTTGACTCCAGTATCCACGCCGTTTGGGTTACACTAATTCGTCACCCTCCCTTTCAGGTTATTCGGAGCACTGTGCTTATGCCGCTGCCTATTTAGATAACATTATCATATACAGCATTGATTGGCAGCAGCACGTGCAACATTTGAGGGCGGTTCTGAGATCGCTGAGACGGGCGGGGCTTATGGCCAACCCAAAGAAGTGTGCGATTGGATAGGTGGAGGTGTGGTATCTGGGCTTCCACTTGGGTCACGGACAGGTGCGTCCCCAAATTGATAAGACGGCGGCAATTGCGACCTGTCCGAGACCCAAGACCAAAAAGGAGGTGAGAAGGTTCCTGGGGCTGGCTGGCTATTATCGTAGGTTCATACCTAATTATTCAAACGTCACCAGCCCGCTGACTGATCTCACTAAAAAGGGAGCACCAGATCTGGTCCAATGGACGGAGCAGCGCCAACAGGCTGTGAATTGTGTTAAGGCAGCTCTCTGTGAGGGCCCGCTGCTGCAGTCGCCTGACTTTGCTCTCCCTTTTGTCTTGAAGACTGATGCGTCAGACAGAGGGCTGGGGACCGCTTTGTCCCAGGTGGTGGAGGGGGAGGATCGCCCTGTGCTGTACATAAGTCAGAAATTATCGCCTTGGGAGACTTGGGAGAAGTACAGCACCACTGAAAAAGAATGTCTGGCCATCAAATGGGCGGTCCGCATCCTCTGCTATTACTTACTGGGGCGCCCTTTCACACTCTGTTCTGACCACGCCTCTCTCCACCGCATGAAGGACTCCAACTCCAGAATCACTTGTCAATATCTAGCTCTCCAACCCTTTAGATTTGACATGATTGAGTTGGGCAGTGGGGGTACGTGGAGAAGAGGGTGTGACCGAGCGTCAAATGCAGGACAGAGAGCCAGTCGGGCTAAGTAGCTGATGATATTCACTTGTGCCTTGTTTCTGCCAGCCTATTTATAGTCATCACTTCCCTCAGTAGGTGGCAGAACCCAGAGAGAGAAGGGGACCTGTGAAGGCGTGAGCGCCGAGCCAAGTTAAGCTGAGCTGAACTGAACAAAAGAAAGAAAGGACTGAAAAGCCCCAGCGAGCATCATGTCTTAATTTATCTGTGGGCTGAAAAGCCGAGTGGTTTTTTGCATTGTGTATAAATAAAAAAAAGGCTCTCCATCTCCACACCTGACCCCGGCGTCCTCCCTCCACCCATTATTGAAGTTGTCACAATAAGGCTAACTAAACCGGTCATATGACAGACAAAACAGGTGCAAATAATCAGTATTCAGGTGAGGCAGATCGATGACAAGAGTCACATGATCACCCAAGGAATTCTGAGTCCATGCTGGAGGGCTGCGTAACACCAACATACACCACATTATACACTAGAAGATGACATTTAGCCTATATTAGTTAAAATTTTTCCAATATGCCCTTTATCATCTTCAGTTTCATTGCCAAACGGTGTGGCACAGCCAGTAAAGCAGCTTATATTCAGTGTTGTGCTTAGGGTTATTAATAGGCCATATTTTAGTTTATTCAGGCATTGTATATCTAGCTACAATTTAGCTACTTTTTAGCTACTTTTTGAAAAGTAGTGCACTACTTGTTAGCTATCTTGTTAGAGTGATTATCAGAATGTTTGTGAATCTCCACCTGACACACCAAACAAGCCCAACTCATAGTGTGAAGAAGACACTGCATTTAATCATGTGCCAGAAATAAACATACAATTGAAAAGCTGCAAATATACAAAAAGATCACCAAAAAGTAAGTTTAAGTGTAACCAACAATCAAACTTACACAATCAAGGCGTAATATTCAACAAAAATTTACACTAAATAAAGGCAAAGTCAATCATTCCAGGTATTTCCTAACAAAAATCAACAAAAAGAACTGCATACAAACCAAACAACTTTGTGCAGAGCATTGTCAACTGTTGAAATAAAACTGCTCCAATTTAAACATTTCAGCAAGATATTTACAGAC